GGCAGTTAACAGCAGTTAAGTTGACTGTGAGAGGAGGGGCAAAATTGCTCAGATTGTAGAGTTCAGGGGCTTATATGCATCAATTAGAGTCTAGGGGCTTAATAGCGATTCTGGGGTTGGTTCAGGGGCTTAACTTATGGTTTTGCCGAATCACTCCCCCTGATTTTGCTTGCCTATTTAAAATCACATTTGAATCCTCTGCCGTGACCGCAAACTCTTCATCAATATACCCATCATCCTCGCCTGAAAACCGGGCCACATTTAAGTCATCATCGTAACCGTCATCGGAAAATTTAGAACCTGATTCCGAGCTTGCCGGATTTCATCGTTCCCTGACCAACCACCAGTCCGGATCCATCCTCCATTCTTCCTCTGACATTGCCATCGGAAAAGACTCACCATTCACAATTAAAACAATTCTATTAGCAATTTTGCTCTGCATATCACTCAAAATCAACACTCTACCTTCACTTAAAAATGATTTGCTCTTCGTGTCTTCATCAACGAGTATCACCTCTCCCAATAAAGCTCCTAACCCTGTGAAACATCTCTCATTGCATGCTTTCAATGGAACGCCAGCAAATCTAAGCCATACCATTCTACTTCTTGAAGGCATAGTCGATAGAGAAGTTGTGTGTATCCATTCGAACCATGACTCTACCAAATCACTATTACACTTGAAAAACTCCTCAAGACATCCCTCTGTTTTATCCACTAATAAAACTTGTTTACCTCCTAACAAAACCACATTCACCATTAATCCATTAACATCAAACCTATTCTGGATTGTCATTACCATATCTAACAATCGAACCACGGCAACCATGCTTTTTTTCAACCAAGCAACCTCCTCCTCTGTAGGAGAAAACTGTAAAACCAAATGAGGACTGGAGTGCAACCTCACCACTTCAGTATCCTTTTCTGTCGATGGCTCAACCACCCTATCAGCTATGTTCACTGGCACCACATCTGCGTCTAACAACAGGACATCCTCCTTATCCCGCACAATCTCAATTGCCATTGATCCCTTCTTCATGTCAGATTACCGTAAATCATTATTCGAAGAGTGCTCTTCCTCAATGGCCGCCAACTTTCCAGCCACCACCTGAGCATAAATGACCCCAGGACTAACCTTTCTATCTACTCTAAACCATTGTTTCTCCTGCTGTTTGTTCTTTCCCCCCAATTGCACCTCTTTCCCTCTTTTCACGTTGTCTGCCAACTTGACCTTGAGACGATAAGAATCAATGCATATATGGTTCAACTTTCTCTCCATGTCGAATACATTAGAAATCTCGCACATACGAACAAAAGCAAACCTACGGCCTCTCTTGTCCCTTCTGGCCGGAATATACACATCTACTACTTTTCTATATGACCAAAAACTATACCACAAATCCTTTGCAGTGCGATTTTCCGGCAAATCATAGAAAAAATATGTAGTTACCTGCCCCATAAATTGCCTGCCATAACCTGGAAGCTGCCGCCCGAAGCCCTTGCCACTGTCCCTGGCTATCGAAAACCACGCTCGAAAACCAGCACTCTCTCTCGCTCTCGCCATTCGCTCTAAAAAAAAGGTTGTAATAGATCCTAACTTATATATGTGTTTGTGAGAGATTACTGGATTCACTCACACATATATATGTATATATGTGTGTGTGAAACATTACTGAATGTCAACTTGTATTGCAAAAATTAGGGGATTAGACTCTAAAACTTGCGTTGTTTCCTTACTTCTGAGTTTGGGTCAAAGAATGGGTTGGGAACATCAAACGGAGCCATTTAGCGTGTAGTCGCGTGCCTCTCCTTTATTGCCAATTTTCCGGCAATGGAGTCGTCGGCTTCACCAATTCTGATTTTTGGTGTCATGTTCTATAGAAAACAATGAAAACTCATTAGATATATATAAGAATGGAAGTCTACAAGCTTGAAGAGATATTTGCAGAAAAACTCACCGTTTCGCTCCGAAATAATCATGGTGTCACAGTCCAATTCAAAATTAAGGAAAAAGAAGAGAAAGAATCTAGAATCAAAGGAAGAATCAAGAAGAAGGAAAATGCGAGGAGAAGGAAGGAAACCACTTATAGTATATTTCCTCAGATACCCTTAAACTTGATACACTGATATTTTTAGACTCACAAACCAGTAAAAGTCCCTAAAATATCCTCATTTACAATTCGGTATGTAACACGTGGGGGTGCTGGAAACAGAAAGAGGAGGCCAGCTGTGGCTGATCATTGGCGGGCATAGGGGCTGGTTCTAACATAGAAGGTGGAGACCGTGCATATCGAAGAAGGTGAGGGGAGGAGGAGAAAAGAAAAGCGAAAAAAAGTTTAGAAAAAATATATAGGGGCCTAGAACGATGTAGCTTCTATTTCTCATTGCGCTTAATTTTTTATAATTAAGGCTGATACCTACTGTTTTTTTATACGTGTATGTAAATATATTATATATACATACCAAAAAGTATGTTGTGCAACCTTGAATTATTCGATTGGAGGGAAATCATGTGATATTAAGATTTTTTTTTAATATTTTTATTTTATAATTTAAACTGTAAAATATAATCTCCTATATATATAGCTAAGTAAATGCACGCGTATGTTCTTGATTTCCTTTAAATTTCAGTTGTTTATTTTTGCTTCTGTAGTATAAGATAAAGACAATCATTTTAGATAATTATAGTAGAATTACATTCAATTATTTCACCTGTGAAACTTATTCCTTCTGAACACTGTGTATAATTCATTTGATCGCAGTGACATTCTCGAAAATGGGTCTAATAGGCGTACTAGCTCAACTGCTTTTGTCAGTACTAGTGGGTAAGCATTAACATCCACTCAGCCTTTCTCATTTTTTCTTCACTAATTTTTCGGTGCTCTATCTTGATTCTTATGTATAGAAATAAAGAGTATATTTTTTATGAGCAAAGCAAATAAAGGTTGTTTGGATTAGCCGTTCAAATTCAATTAATAAAATGGTTGATAAATATTGTTATTTATAATATAAAATATTTAATTCATTTTATTAGGATTGTTTAGATCTGATCCAAATTAATTAATTTAACTAAAATTAATTCAATTCGAGTAAAAGTCAATCCATATCGACATCAATTTAAGTTGATTTGGATTATAAAATTTTTAAATTGATATAAATAATTTGGTTTGAAGTTTACTTTCAAACTAACTGAACCACTTTATTATAAAATAATTTTATTAAATAATATAATATTTTTACTTTCATATTTTTTGGTAAATATGTTTTTAGAATTTTTATTTTTTATACAAATTGTATATTAAATTTTCATTTCTTGTCCTATAAAAACAAAAGCTCTACTTTTGGAACTCTTTACTTTCTTGAGCAATAATAGTGGGGGCTTACATGTCGTGGTTCCCTTATTAATTCTTACTCTTTTTTTTCTTCTTCTTTATTTTTACTTCAATCTAATAGTTAGAATTATCATTTTGTTGTCTATGATATTATTGTGCCTTATAATTGTATTTTCTATAGTTTGATACTCTAATTTTGTCTAGTCAAATATATTTAAAATAATGTTAAAAACTGATAAATACGACTAAATCACACCAATCGTTTTCAAATTAAATTGGTTTATTTATAGTATAATAATAAATTAGATTGGTTTATAAATTTTATTAATCGATTAAATTAACTTGGTTTTAAAAATATTAAAATCCAATCCCATTCACACCACAAACACCCCTACATTTGATTAAAATCACCAACTAATGGCTATTGGTAAAAAGTTAAAACAAACACCAACTAATTAAACTGATGCATGTTCTTCTCTTTCTAATTTTGATAAAGTACAGTTTTAATTATTGAGGTTAAAGCCAACTATAATACCTATATTTTTAATTTCTGTTCATTATCTTTCCATGTACTTACAAATCATTGAAAATCCCCCATCTACTCTTTCAAATCATACTGTTATACTCCCTCTACTTTAATTTTTCATTACATTTATCTTCCTCACCAAACATCATTTATCTCTCCCCTAATATCGTTAAATGCAATAGTTTATGTATCTTTGTTCCATTGTTTTTGTGATCCCAAAATTTCATGGTATTTTGCTGATGGTGCTACGTGTTTCATCAACGAAAATAAAAAATTATCGCTCCCATCAAAATTCATGCTTCCTTTCTTTTCTACCTTCAAAATTATTATTAACAGTATCATCTTGCACAAATAATTACATATTTTAGTATTGGCTTTTAGAGAAAAAAATCATCCACTTGCAGTACTTTAAATAAGAGTCGCTTGGGACAAAAAACATTAGACTTGTTTCTTTTAAATTTAAAAATAAAGAATTTTGTATAATTGAAAGTAACATTAATAATTCTATTGACTCAATGCACTCCAAAAGGGGTGAAATGGAGTTCAAAAATTTCTTCCTTTTCTAACAACAAATTAAAAATCCAAGAGAGAAGGGAGGAAAACTTGCATAAAGATTTAATAGAGGTTCAGTCCAAAAAGCTTGCATAAAAATTTTATAGAGATTCAATCCAACCACTTTGCACTTAATCCTCTACCTTGACTTGACTCATGAAGGATTACCTTTACACTCTCCATTAATGCTCAAGAGTAGAAAAAAGAGCTATCCAATCCTTTTTTTAAAAAAATAGGTTTCACTCAATTTCACCCCTTTTCAATCTAACCCAACAAACATCACTACTAAGCCACTCTTAAAGAAATAGATCACACCCCCAATAAGTCACTTACAAAATAAGATTACAAAATTGCAAGACAAGATCACTTAATGATCAAATATGCAAGTATAAGTACAAAGAATTGAATGTTTGTAAGAGAAACCTCAAGCGGGTTGTTGAAATTCTTCATTGAAGTCTCTAAGAAGCTCATAAGTGTGTCCAACAACCTTATTTATCTTTCTCAGATCAAAAATAGCCATTTGGGAATATTAGATTGCATTAAATGCTTTGTAGACTAATCAAATTTGAAAAACTAACTGTTACTGTATAGTTAAGATTCAAATATATATAGCTTTCAGGAGTCAAATCTTTAAAGCTTAGTTTTTTAAAGATTTCACTCTTCAACCTAGGAGTTTAATCTTTAAGAAATTTTGGCACTTGGTTTAAAATTCCTCATTTAACTCAAGAGTCAAATAGATGAACCAAGATTCGAATATCTTCCCTAAAGATTTGAATCTTCAAGTGAAGATTCGAATCTGCCATTTGCCTTTACAAGTCTTAGCACTTTCTATTTCTTGAGTTGAATCTTTAATTACTAAGAGTCGAACCTTCAAGGCCCAAGAGTTGAATATGCATATTAAGAGTTGACTCTTCTGTTGTTTATGCCTTTTGCTTTATTTCAGCTTGAGAGTCTAATGTTTAAATAAAGAATCGAATCTATTTGCTTCAAAGTACGAATGTAGAACCCTATAGTCAAATCTTCATCCATTTCCTGCAATTTTTCAAGTTTTAAATGGAACCATATTAGAGTTATTCAACAACACACTTAAACTCAAATTCATTAAATATTACAAAGAGTTTTGTTATCATCAAAATCATTTGGAGTTCAAAAAATTCATCAAATTCTAAACTCAAATTACCATATTCATATCCTACTATGCCAAAATTTATATATAAGAATAAAAAAATTAAAAAGAAAATTAAATTAAAATCAAAACCTACTTCTTCTTGCAAGCCAAATTCAAAATCCTTCAACACACATTCTCCAATTAATCTTGTATTTTTATCAATTGGACTTTGGCCTAACAAGTACAAACCCAAAATCAGATAAAAAACAAAAACAAAGTGATCTAAATCAAAATTAGATTAACAGTGATAAAAGATGGTACCTGAAGCCAACAGCGATGTAGATTGCTCTAATCGAAGCCAATGATAACCTCCTCAATAAAGTTGTGAGTGGGATTGAAATGTCCCCTCTCTGGGAGTAACAATGAGTATTGTATGGACTTTTTATGTGTACAAGTATAGACTTTTTATTTTATCTTCTTTTTTACAATTTTATTTTTATGTATAAATTTTGGTATAGCAGAATATGAATATAGTTATCTGAGTTTGGATTTTGATGAATTATTAATGGTGTTTTCAATTACACAAAGTTATTTATGTTCAAATTTAAAAGAAAAAAAGTTTGATGTGTTTTTGTCCCCTACAACTTTTGTTTAAACTATTGCAAGTGGATGATTTCTTTTCACTCAAATTTAGGACTAAAATATATAATTGATTGTGCAAGAGAATACTGTTAGTTTTGAAGGCAAAAAAACTGCGAGTACGAAATCAATGGGAGCGGAAATTTTTTGTTTACATCAATAGAACACGTGGCATCATCAACAAAATAACCTATGGAATTTTGTGGGTCTACAAAAACAATGCAAAAATAAATAAATAAATAAATAAACTATTGCATTTAATAGTGTTATAAACGTTTTTAGGGAAGGGAGGTAATGGTGGTAGGGGAGAGAGAGGACAACACACAACAGTATGGTTTGGAAGAGTAGAGACGGAGGATTTTGAATGATTTGTAAATACAAAGAGGAGAATGAACAAAAGTTGAATATAGATGGGCTGTAGTTGGCTTTAACCCTACTTATTGCAACATACTTTTTTTTTTTCTTTTGTTAAGCATTCTTATACTAAAAGAATTTTTCTTTTGGTGCATCTGGTAGTGTTCTATATAAGAAATGGTAGCCTTTTCTTTATTTTATTTTTTTTTTTCACACAACTCAAGATTCAAATGTGAGATTTTCAACTTAAGATTTTAGACTCCTAACTAGTTGAATCACCCCTCAAGGTATACTAAATTTTTTTAAAAAAAAACTAAAAAATATATAAAGAAAATCAAGTTTTGCAACTATGAAATTGATTATTTATAAATAATAAATACTCATTTTATTTCAAAATACTTGTCATTTAATTATTTTGAATTTATTGTATTTTTTTTTAATTTTTTAAGTAGAGAAGTATTTTTATT